GAGCCTACTCTGGTAATCTAGATTAGAGGCTTGTCGCTTAGACTAGGGAAGTGGCACAGAAGAGAGAAGGAAGCTGGATGATTGAAGAAACAGAAGACAGAACCAACAAGGCTTAGTGTATGTATGGTAGGGTGAGAGGGCATGGAGGGAGAGGCCCTGAACAGTATATAAATATTTGAGGAAGAAATGAATGAATTTCTCTGTTCCTGCCATATTGTTTTACCACATGAAACGTCTTCCTTCTACTCCATCCTTCCAGGCAAAATTCCTTCTCGTTTCCTCCACAAAACTGTCTGAATGATCTTAGCCCCTTCTTTCTGGGAGTGTTCTAGAATTTTGGAACTGAACTTCTTTTTGGCCTTAAGAAGCGGCATGTGGAACTTCCATGAGGAGGGATTGAACCCGTGCCCCCTGCATTGGAAGTGCGGAGTCTTAGCCACTGGACCACCAGGGAAGTCTTAGAACTGAACATTCTTGAGAAATACATTGAGGGCTGTTGAGAGAACTTAGAAATTGTCTGAATATGGAGATGATGTTTTACTCAACTTTCTATCCCACCCACTCCCATATACCTAATACTTATAGAAATCCACCCATTTATAGAACTTTTCCTCTGAATACATGAGTGGTTCAAGCATAAACAGCCTATGCTAACATAAAGCTCTGTGACCCATAAAGCATTATACAGATGTGGGAGCTTTCACAACCATTTTCTTCTCGGGTCTTCACAGAACTCTTATAAAATAGGTACTACTATAGAGGAAATAAGCTCATAACTAAAGTGACATGTCCAGGGCTTCCCTGGTGGTGCAGTAGTTTAAAATCCGCCTGCCAAGGACAGGAATAAAGACACAGACATAGAGAATGGACTTGAGGACACAGGGAGGCAGAAGAGTAAGCTGGGACGAAGTGAGAGAGTGGCTCAGAACTCAGAAATATTTCCAATTCAGGGTCTATTCTCCAAATTGAGGCAGGACTATGTCCCATTTTAGCAGGAAGTGGCAAGAGCCATCGTCGCCCAGTTTCCTGAATTAAAACTGAACAGGACTTTGAGGGGCTCAAGAATACAAATCCTTTCTGTGTCCCCTGTTTCTTGTTTATAGGATACAGACTTCATTCAACCTCCTTGACCTTCCTGGAATTCCAAAGCGCAGATTCAAACAGTTGCTAATCAGGAAAGGGAGGGGATGCAAAAACAGGGGAGAAACAGTCAAATGGTGGTTCAGCCTTGGGCAGGCACCTGGTTCCTCCTCAAGGAGTGTGCATAACTGTATCTTTGAGTTCTTCTGCAGAACCGGGACCCCACCCAGGTGGAGGATGGTAACTTCAGGCTGAGTGCAAGATTCCTAGAGCACCATCCTGTTACCTCACCTCCAACCAATGAGAAGAACCCTGTAGCCCTCACCCCAAATTTTGCCTTCCTTTTCTGGGCCCAGCGATGACCATCCTGTTAGGCCTCCTGTTTGGCCCATGTGTTTCAACTGTTTACAAGGTTCATCTCCAACAGGGTCCAACAGTGTCAAGCTAAATTTGTTACTATGAGGGTAAACGCTAATTTCGGGCACAGAATTTAGATCAATTTAGATCAGGTGGCGAGACATTTCTACTCTACTAGGCAGGACTACGCCCACCCTCAGCAGAAAGTAGTTACAGAAGAAAGAGACCTCCACCCCAATTCCCAAGCAGTATCTTGACTATGAAGTCTCTCAGGGGGGAGTTGTTAGGGGAACCACTGACTGAAACCACCCTCCCTGGCTGGGCAAGATAGTAACCACGTGCATGAGTTATCTTACAACAGGAGGTCCTGGTAACGAACGTGGAACTAATGAGCTAGAATTCAAGAAAGATCAAAAGAAGAGAGGAGACGCCAGTCCATATGTCTTACCAACCTCCCAGAATCCTTCTCGCTGGAATCTCGCTGGATGAGCAATGCCTGCACCACCGGGAAGGACCCTGAGTCAGAGCAATTGGCCAGAGACAACCCGGAAACTAACCCCATCACCATAAAACCTGAGGCTGTGAGCCACCACGTGGCAGAGCAGTTCTCTTGAGTTCCCTGACCCTGCTGCTCTCCACCGGGGTGCTCCTTCCCAATAAAGTCTCTTGCTTTGTCAGCACGGTGTGTTTCCTTGGACAATTAATTTCCGAGTGTTAGACAAGAGCCCACTCTCCCCCTTCCTGCAATACCACTTCTGAGACACCTTCCCAGTTTCAGGTATTAATTAATGTAGTCAAACATATTTATTGGGCTTCCCTGGTGACGCAGTGGTTGAGACTCCGCCTGCCGATGCAGGGGACACGGGTTCGTGCCCCGGTCCGGGAAGATCCCACATGCCGCGGATCGGCTGGGCCCGTGAGCCATGGCCGCTGAGCCTGCGCATCTGGAGCCTGTGCTCCGCAACGGGAGAGGCCACAACAGTGAGAGGCCCGGGACCCGAAAAAAAAAAAAAAAAAAAAAAAAAGCTTATTGAGCAACTACTAGGTGCCAGGCATGACACCTAGCGGTGGGGATAAGGTACAGCAGTGAACAAGGCAAGAAGGTGCTTGCCCTCAGTGTGATTCAGGGAGCCGGTCAAAGGAAACAAATGTATAAATGATGCGGTAAGTGCTATAAAAAAAAAAATACACAGGGTGATGGGAGAAAATATATGTCCCTCTGGTCGGAGAGAACCTCTCAGAAAAATGGCATTAAGGTTGAGACCCGAACTTGGTCTTCAGGAGGCACTTACCTTAAGACATTATTCCCACAGACCTACTTTGAAAAACGCCTACAAAAGGAAAGAGCGGACTTGGTCCACAGAGGGGCGGCTTCCAGGCATCCAACCTTAGCTGAAAACTTTGACCGGCACTAGAGGGCGCCGCGGGTCCTCCCAACCCCCAGGAGGCACCGTAGACACAGGCCCTGCCTAACTGACCTCTGGCAGCTGCCGCGCCAAGGCCCCGAAGTCCGCAAACGGACAGAGAGCAAGGGCGGCGGCGCTAGGAAGCCCGAAGGCCCTAGAGCATCGCGAGGGGTCATGAGGCCCTCAAAGAGAGGACATTCTCAGGATCACAACCCAACCAAGAGCAGATACTCTCTCGCTTCCTCCAGGACAGCCGGTTTCCGGCGCCTCTAAACCAGGAAGTGCCAGCGGCGTCCAATCCTGGCCCTCCTTCCGAACTTAGCCTTAGCGTACGCTCCTCGCCCGGGCAGCGCGAGGCGAACGGTCTATGGTTACCAATCAGCTCTCAGGAAAGGCGCATGCGTCGTCAAAAGAACGCAACGTACGGGAACTTTGACCTGAAGACGACTTACTCTCGTCTGCCCCTCCCTCACTGCGAAGATGGCGGTCTCCAGAATGTGCTGGGCGCGGGCTGCTTTGTGGGGTTCGGCGGGGCCCCCTGGACCTTATGTCGCCCGGAGGCTGCAGTTTGTTCGCTCTGGCATGGCCTGGGGGGCCCCTCGGTGAGGGATTTGGAGAGAGAAAAGCATTTTTGACGTTCAGGCTCTTCCAGTGTCTCAGTTTTGTTTGCATGCTGTGTCTTAATTCTCAGGGCTCCACGCCCCGGCCCCTGGATTTTTATTGTGCCGCGCAGAATTCGCACCGGGATCCCTGCTAGAGAGCTGGCTTCGTGACCCTCTCAATTCTCAGTGCCCCATGTTGTCTGAATTCCCCACGTGTCCTGAGCCTCCCTTTTTCGGCTCAGATTTTACTACTGCTTATCCGGATCTCACCTCTCTGGCTTTAGCCTGCTGCTCAGATTGCCCCTCAGGCCTTCCGCTCTCTCCAGACTCACCACTTCCCCGACATCCATTCTTGCCTGGCCTCTCGTCTGCCTTATCTGTTTTTCTCAGTCTGACTGCTTATCTCTCCATGATCTCAAGATCTTTGGATTTCAGAAGTTTCAGGTCTTAGCATACATTCTCTGAAGCAGATGTTTTACATTATGGACCCCAGGCGTGAAGGGGCTTCCAGGCTGGTTCCCAGATAGTCTCTTTCATCTTCCTTGTAGGTCTTCAAAGCTTCACCTTTCTCCAAAGGCAGATGTGAAGAGCTTGATCTCTTATGTGGTGACCAAGACAAAAGTGATTAATGGGAAATACCATCGTTTCTTGGGTCGTCATTTCCCCCGCTTCTATGTCCTGTATGCAATCTTCATGAAAGGTAAAGACAAAACTAAAATAAAAATCCATTGAATCAGCTCTTGGGCAGTGTCAGAGAGTTAGAATAAGTAAGATCGCTTGCAGGCTCTGCGATGGGGGTGTAAGCTGGTATGTCTTCTGTTTCATAAATGCTTGAGCATTAAACTATTTCTTGTAAGTTAGCCCTTCTTGATGTTTCTAGAAAGGTATGTTGAGAAACAACTTCTGACAACACCCAGGAGGATTATAGGTATTTTTGCACTTTTCCTAACCACACATCTGACTATAGTAGAAATTATTTGTCGTGCACAAGGGCAGAGATCTATAGCTGCACAGACCTGCCCTGTGATTTACCAGTTGACTTGGCTTGTAAGAAAATGTAGTCTAATGTTTGTCACAGATCTCTCCTGGGTAGCACGTTGTGGAAATAGCACTACACGTACTTGGTTTGTGAATGTTTCGGTTCAGATCAGAGCTCTGCTAGTTACTAGGTGATGGTAGAGTGTCACGTGTCCACTCTGGAGCCAGACTGCCTGGGTTCAAATCCCAACTAGTCACTAGCTGTGTGATTGGACTTGTTACTTAACCTCTCTGTTCTTTGGTTTTCTCATCTGTAAAATGAGGGTAGTAATAGAACCTGCCTATTGTCTGCATGGCTATGAAGATGAAATAAATCCATACATGTAAAGTCCTTAGGACCAGATTCATAGTGACTGCTCAGTAAGTGTAGCTAGCTATAACTATTATACTCTAATTTTTTTTTTTTTTTTTTTGCGGTACGCGGGCCTCTCACTGATGTGGCCCCTCCCGTTGCGGAGCACAGGCTCCGGACGCGCAGGCTCAGCGGCCGTGGCTCACGGGTCCAGCCGCTCCGCGGCATGTGGGATCTTCCTGGACTGGGGCACGAACCCGTGTCCCCTGCATCGGCAGGCGGACTCTCAACCACTGCGCCACCAGGGAAGCCCACTCTACTTTTTTTATCATAACACCAATTATAGTAAACTCCCACATTGTCAGTTCTGAATATTATAATTATTACTAGCTTCATGTACTTGCAAAAGCTGTAAAGTGGAGATAAGAATGACTGCTTTGTCTGCTCCCCAATTTATAACTAAAATCAAATGAAAAAAAGAGTCTGAAAGCATTTTGGTTGTTTGTGTTTAAGCCTTTTATTACAGAAAACTTCAAACATAACACAGAAGTAGAGTAATACAATGAACTTCCATATTCTCAACCTCACTTCAACAATTATTGACTCATGGCCACCAGTCTTATATCAATTATACATTGGCTTTCTCCTGTATTATTTTGAAGCCAACCTAGACATTATACCATTTCATTCATAAATAGGAAAACATTTTTATGAACTAAAGTTCTAGGTCAGTGTAAGGATTATCTTGGAATGAAGTGAAAATGCAATCTTAGAAATATGTTGAATTCCAGTAATTATAAAAGTGTTCTAGAAAGGAGAAAAGTTAATATCTGGTTGAGATATACAAAGGGTTAATTGAGCAAGACTTCCTGAGGTTAAAGAGCTTTGAATTTTTATTTTAAAAAGGGAGTGAGTAATGAACCAGAAGAGGGAGACCATTCCCTGGTAGATCACAGAACGCCAGCTTGGCAGGAAGAGAGGTGATATGCTGGGGGCAGGGGGGGTGGAAGGGGGCAGGGGGGTGGAAGGGGGCAGAGGGGAGAAGGATAAGAAACGAAATATAGGTCAGCTTCACAAGAGTTTCAAGTGACCTAGTTTAAAGCTTTGATTTAGAGTAGCATTGGGGAGGGAGGGACAAGTGTGTGTTGTGGGTGAACATGGAACAAAAGGCTGTGGTAATCAGATTGGGATAACATCACACTCTGTCCTCTACTTTAATGAGGTAGGATTGCAGATGTTATGGGCTGATGCCAAAAAGGCTAGAAGAATAAAGACAAATATGTGGAAGCACAATATAAAGTTTCATCAACTTTCATACCGGGAGATGGAGCATTTGAGACAGGTATGCGCCAAGGGCAGATGTCCAGAAGTTCACGGTGATATAATTAAAGTTAACCCAGAGCTCAAGTCTTTTCGTTCCTATTTTCTTCACCACTGACTAAGCTGTTGCCCCTTGCCATGAGATCAGATCATTTGTCAGAATCAGTTCATTCAGAGTTGTGAGCCTCCATAGCAGAGCTCCGTAGAGTTTCTGGAACACTTTCTGAATAAAAGTGAACAGTAAAGTCCAGTTCATTTCTGAACATATAAAAATCTGCAAGGAAGGATCCAAAGGCAGCAGGAAAGTAGTATTTGGTGATAACTTGATGGTAGTTTTGAAGCTGAGAGTAAGAATCTAGGACCATTCTGCAGATCAGGAAGAATTTACTTAGGGATTTGGTATACTGTCAGGCCCTGTACTAGACATTGTTTGGGATACAAAAGTAAACAGATCAGGGCTCCTGTCCTTAAGGAACTTACCAACTAGAGGTAGATAGAAATAACCTTGATCCTTACCTGGGCTCTAATAGAAGTTTACTGCACAGTGGGGTGGAGGGATTGTCCATTGTCCTAAAAACTTACTTGGGTTAAAACTGCATCTGTGTTTATTTCTGCTTAGTTCCGTCGAGACGTCGCCAAGTGTCTTTTCCTAGGTATTCTTTCCATTCCACCCTTTGCCAACTACCTGGTCTTCTTGCTAATGTGAGTACAGAGTTCTGTCTCTCCGGCATACTGAAGATATGTAGATTTTTTTTAAATTACAAATTAAGAACTTTCCATTTCAGAAGTTAGGCAGAGGTTATCAAACTTCTGCTCCAATTTTCTCATTAGCCCAAGGTTCATAAAAGCCACCTGGGTTACTGCGACGGCTGTAGGAGTAGGTGGCCTGGCTTCTCCCTGTCTCTTAGCTGCTCCTGTGTGATGTGAAATAAGATAATGATCTTTTCCATCATCCCTAGAGGCAGCAACCCACTCTCTTAGAGGCATAGCAACTTGGGACAAATTTTTTTCTTCAGGAGAAAAATGCATTTCATATTCTGATAATACCAATCTTTATTACTTTACCTTATATCTGAAGATGACAGTTTTAAACTATGACCTTGCATGTTTTTCTAGTTATCTATTGTATAACAAACAACCTCAAAGCTTAATAGCTTAAAACAACCACCATTTTCATGATTTTATGGGGCAGGAATTTGGGCAGGACTCAGGTGGCGGAAAGATTTTTCTCCCGTGTCTCTCAGTGATAGTTAAAACTGGTGAATGGACTAGTCTGGACAGTCTAAGGTCACTCTTAGGTCTGGTGCCTTAGCCAGGATGGCTTTGGAAGACTGGAACTGTCAACTAGGGTGCCTGCATATGGCCTCTGTAATGTGGTGGTTTCAGGGCAGCGGGACTCCTTACATGGCAGCTTAGGTCTCCAAGAATGAGTGTTCCAGCAAATAAGAATCTGCATGGGGCTTCCCTGGCGCCACCAGGGAAGCCCTGCATGGCCTTTTATAACCTAGCCTTGGAAGTCACAAAGACTTCTGCTCTATTCTGTTGGTTGATGCACTCACCCAGATTTTAAAAACCAGAGGCACAGACCTCACTTCTCAATAAGAGGAGTGCCAGGGAATTTGTAACCATGTTTTAAAACCACCGCCCGTATAGAGAAATGAATTAGAGGAATTCCATTTTGTATACACATAGGGACTGTGAACAGTTTGAGGTTGTCAACATCACATACAAAGTCCAGCTCTGTCTGCAGCTTTGTCCAAAATATGTTCATCACATGCTTTGATTCAAAAGGAGTCATTTATCTGATTGCTGCATACAAGGCTGTTCCCTTACTGCTTCCTTTTACATAACCTCAGTAACGTTGCTTGAAATTGGGCTTCAGTGTATCTTTAAACCTTGGTCTGACACTCATTTACAGGAAAGAACAGTAAGGTAGGGAAATAGTGTTTCCATCTCTTCCTCCAAGCATTCATGTCTGCTAAATGCTTTCTTAGCTCACTTTGAAAGATGCCCGTTTCAGCAAGTGACTTTGTGATTCCTTTTCTTTTCAGGTACCTGTTTCCTAGGCAACTGCTGATCCAACATTTCTGGACCCCAAAGCAACAAATTGATTTCTTAGATATCTATCATGCTCTCCGGAAGCAGTCCCACCCAGAAATTCTTTGTTATTTAGAAAAGGTTATCCCTCTCATTTCTGATTCAGGACTCCGGTGGCATATGACAGAATTGTGCACCAAGGTATTCCTCCAATTAACCCTTCCTGCAAACCAGGAATCTTGTTAGATCCAGCGTGCACTAAAACTGGGTAAGAAGGCTAGTCTGGACCTTCCTAACATCTGCCCATCTCTTACCTCTCCCAAGATGCAACGTGGTACCCACCCAGCAATACATGATATCCTGGCTCTGAGAGAGTGTTTCTCTAACCGTCCTCTGGGCATGAACCAGCTCCATGCTTTGCAGATGGTGAGCACTCAGGCTTTCTCTATTCCATGGCGTCACCTCGCTTCAGGTCTTACTTGCAGTAACACCGAGTTGACTTTCTCCCCCTATATTGTGTCACAGAAAGCCTTGAGTCGAGCAATGCTTCTCACACCTTATCTGCCTCCTGTCTTGTTGAGATACCGTTTAAAGACTCATACCACTGTGATTCACCAACTGGACAAGGCTTTGGCAAAGCTGGGGATTGGTCAGCTGACTGCGCAGGAGGTGAAGTCGGTAAGTGCTTGATTGCAATATCAACCTGCAGTCCTTGGTGGGCTTTTGAGCTCACGGGGCTGGGAGCTTCCAGGGAGCTCCTTGTCTTGCTTGTTACAGCAGAGCCCAGGCTCTTTATTCTCTCACCTCATTGCTATGTCTTTTTTTCTGAGTGAACTTAACTAGTGGGAAGGAGTTGCCCACAATAATTTTGGTTTATGTATGTTTTCTTCTGGCCCTTCAAAAAGCAAGGACACTACACTTTACATCTATTGTTTTAGATTGTATAGGGCTTTTTGCTTCTCATCCTGTCCATCAGAGTTCATATTGCCATGGTGAAAGGTTTCTTGTGGGGATGAGGTTTTAACTTATTTAAAGGGGATTTGGGATTCTCTGTGGGTTTATACTTCCTTGGCATACTTGCTCTGTGATCATTAAGGATTGTTTCTCTTCTGAGCGATCTAGGCTTGTTATCTTCGTGGCCTGAATTCCACCCATATTGCTGAAGAGAGGTGTCGAACTTGGCTGGGAGAATGGCTGCAGCTTTCCTGCAGCCTGAAAGGTGAGACAAATGCCTGTGGTTATGCCACTAAGATCCAAGTCATTTTTGTATTTTATTCTGAGGTTTTATTTGGGAGTTAATTATTAAGTAGTGTGAGACCCTTATCTAATATATATGTCTAATTGAAAGGGCGCAGACTCACTTGCCTACAGGGGCTAGGCAGGTAATGAAGTAGACTGTGCAAGACAAGAGGGAGGACTATGGATTATGGGAACCCGAGTGTGAAGCAGGGTTGCCCAACCTTGGCACTACTGATGCTTTGCTGTGGAGGCTGTCATGTGCATTATAAGACGATACAGCAGGCATCCCTGGCCTCTATCCACTAGATGACAGTAGCACCCCCTCACCCAGTTCTGACAGCCAGCAATGTCTCCAGACCTCGCCGTGTAACTCTGGGAGAAGCACCAGCCCCAAGGCATTCAAATTCAGAATGAAAACACTCAGTTGCCTAAACAGAAAGTATCTGCGGGTGGGTATTAGACCTATGGGTCTCCTGTTTGGAACCTTTGGCTAGGCCTCGATATCTTCTAAGCCTCTGAACATCAGGGTAGGCCTACTAATCTCCTTGGGGCTGAGAAATGTCCCTGGAGGACCAGCTTCTACCGGAAAATTCCGAAGGGTGACAGTGGGGTTTAGTACCATTACCATCTCTGAATTTTCTACTGCCATCACATGAGAATCAAGTAGATACAGATATTCGGTGGAAGGAAAGAAAGTGTGCATGCAGGGACTGGAATGAAGCAGGGGAACTTTGAGAACAGTGGCCTCTTAATGTCACACCTCCCTGTACTTGGCTTTCTGCCTCTGGTGTCAAGCCCCACATAACAAGGTAGCTGGAAGGCAGGCTCTTCCCTGGCCAAACCATTAACGTTGATGTTGTTTTCAGAAGCTGAGCTGTCCCTCTTGCTACACAATGTGGTCCTGCTTTCCATCAACTACATTGGGACAAGGCGCTGAGCCGACAAGGAGCGGGTGGCATTGTCCTGCATGCAGTCACATAGTCCAGCAGCGTGGGACCAAACAGCACTTGTCAGCAAAGAGTGTGTGCCCTGTTAGGCGTGTGCAAGGCAGAGGAGCAGGTGCCCGTGTGGCAGCTGGAACTGAAAGAAACCCTCCTGCTGGGGCGGCCCACGAGAGGTGTCATCCCAACTTCCTCAGAATTTGCTGGAGCTGGCTGCAGGCTTTGTACTGGGCTTTTACTATGGTGTTTTAAGTTCGGGTCCCAGGAAGTGAGCTTTTGCCCCAGGTGGGAATCCTCATTTGGCTTAGGACTTACCCACTGCCACATTCGTTACAGCTTTTTTTTTGTTTTTGCCGTACTCTCACTGCTGTGGCCTCTCCCGTTGCGGAGCACAGGCTCCGGACGCGCAGGCTCAGCGGCCATGGCTCACGGGCCCAGCTGCTCCGTGGCATGTGGGATCTTCCCGGACCGGGGCACGAACCTGTGTCCCCTGCGTCAGCAGGTGGACTCTCAACCACTGCGCCACCAGGGAAGCCCCGTTACAGCTGTTTTTGTTCAAGACAGTTTCTGGCTGATGAGGGGAACAGCACTACTTAAACTGGAGCCTTTATATCCATGCATGTACTTTGATGCCTCCGTCAGCACTTTGATATGACCAAAAATAGGGATTTTTATTTTTTGTTTCCCTCACAGGGCTAACCACTTCCCTTTTTTTCAAATCCTTTGAGCACCTTAACTTTTTTTTTTTTTAAGTAAATAACTTATGGGAACATTCTAATGGAAAGATAAAAGAAAATACAAGCTCTTCTTGAATCAAGTGTTTACAGCCTTCCCCTCCCTCTCTTAACTTCTGGACTGGGCTACAGCCCCTGTGGATCTTAAAGGCTTTGCTACTTCCACTGTGTTGCAGCGATCCAACTGTAGCTGACAGGGGCCGCCTTTGGGCCGTGGATCAATCCTGTAAGGTACTAATTACTGCCCAGCCCCAGAGACCAGGAGAGGTCTACTTTGAGATAGTAAGTTGGGTTCAGCTTTTGTCTGTGTGCATCAGTGACCTGTAGTAACTTATTGTAAACGCATGAAGCACTGTTTTTAAGCTCAAGTAAAGACTGCCTGCAACCAGTTGCTGGAAATTACTTATGCATACCCTAATCATTTTACTAAGGCTCCTTTTACAAGACTGACTGACATAAGCTAACTAATGGCAAGATAACTGGTTGGAATAGAACCTTCTGATGGGATGGAAATGACAAAGGAGCTAATTTGAAGTTGATCCTCTTGCTGGATTTTAAGATGGTAACCAGGTATAGAGAATTTCATATATATATATATGTGTGTGTGTGTGTAAAGTAATGGAATTACAAAGTGGGCCCCAAGAGTAGGGACTGAGGAGGGAAAAGCTCCAGCAGGGCAGATCAAGGCCTGCTTCAGCTGAAAAGGTATGTTAGGGCATATGATGCAAGTCAAGCTCTTGATGCTCCAAAGAATGTTCTATTTTTCCACCATAAAACATTCCTATTGTTAACATTAATCCTTAACTGACCTAATTGGTTTTATATACAATGCTAGAGAAGCATCTTTTCTCTAACAAGTAACTGACTTGTGGTCTGCCAAGATAAAGAATAACACACCATTCTTTTGGATATTTCTTTAATATTACATTTAAATATTCTCTTTAAATACAGCATTATCACAATGTAAAGGACCTAAAAGGCAAAAAAAAAAAAAAATTTTTTTTTCAGAGAACCAGACAAGCTTTGGATTCACATTGAAATACTACCTGCGTACAGTATGTGAGAAAGGAAATTGGAAAATAATTAAGCGTTGTAATAATCATTTTTTTATCTAGGCCTAGACTAAGCAGGACTGAAGCTCTCTGCCTCTGTGATCAGAGGCCTAGCCTTTCTAGCAACCATGAACTATAATTCTGTCCAACTCAGGTAGCACCAGAAACGAGATGGATCAGGTTTGTAGAAGAGGCCCTTTGCTTGACAAGACAGTTAATGCTAAACGTTAATATTTAGCATTTAAAAGCTTGGGATAGGTGAGTCAGAATTGCAGAGTTAATGAAGGGATGGACTTATATTAAACTAGTTTTTCAGAAAAATCAAATTATCTTGGAGGTTGGCAATGAGTCTAGTTAGATGCAAATTCTTGGTTTGAACCCAAATGTGTGTCTTACTGAACAGGTGAAATCCACTCCCTAGCTTAGGCTGGAGCCTTCCTAAGGAGGGAATGTACAACGCTCACCTTCACCTTCCAACACAAACTTCTAGAAAGATTTTTCTCCAAATTCCCAATTAAACTTCAGTCTTATATCTGAGGGGACCAGTCTAAGGTGGCAGAGTGTAGCTCAGTTCGGGATAGCACCTAGATCTCAGGTACTTCAGACTCTCAACTCCATTTCGAGACTAGAGAATGGGGAGAGATAAGGGCCTATGACTTATTAACTCCCCTGCAAATGTAAAACCCAACAAAAACAGGAATGAACAGGAGAGGCAGAATGCGTTAAAAGATGTAACTGTGTTAAATACGAGGTCTTTCAGGCTCAGTTTAGGTTTGATAGGTGAAATGCTGCTGCGATATATGTGAAGGTTGCTTTCAGACACCAGGGCTTTAAGATCCCACAAGAAAAGGCTTTATGAGCAAGAGAAGTAGGAACAGTTAGCTCCTCCAGCAAAAAAAAAAAAAGTTTTTTACTTTTTTTTTTTCTGGTTAATAAACCATAGCAGTAATGAAGCATGGTGTAAAGGATGCTAAAGAGTGTTTTGCTCCCTACTGCCTCCCTCTTCAAACAGAGGCCATAAAAAAGAGAATGAAATAAAACAGGCAAAGGTAACTTTGCTAGTAAAAAGAATTCAGTGGTGGTCAATGGAGGACATCCAGGAACGTAAGCAGGACATAAGAGAACAGGAACCGTATCCCCCCTAATTCAGGTACAAACTGAATGTGAGTCCCACTCTAGACCTCAAAGGTTACAGTCAGAACCTGACTTCTTCAGAACCTGGAAGTTGTATGTAGCATTTAAGAACTGGTTTGGCCTCCAATCTTTATATATCGAGATGGGAGGGATCCAATAAGCATTTGCAGTTATTGGGGGTGAACAGTATAAGAATACAGTATAAGAACTCTAACCCTGTATATCCAAGAGGGACCATGAGGGCAGATACAAAAAGGAAACAAAAACTAGTTGGTGAATTTGCCACATTCTACATTCCTTTAAAGCTCAAATTGGGGTAGGGGGGACAACCTGGGTGAAAAAGCAAGCATGGCAAAAAGTCATCTTTCTAGACAGCAGCCTGTTCCTGCTGCCTCCTTTGGGCACAGGTTAATGCTCTACATAGGCCTCCCGTGGGACGTGTGAGCCCCAGACTAAAGCTGCCCGACGGAGCTGGGGTTAGACGTATACAGAGGACTCAGGCTCTCGATGCCACATCCCCAGCCAACCTAGCTCTTTCCCTGCAAAGGAAAAAGGACAGAGGGGTAAAAAAAACAAGACCAGTTTAACTCTAGTACCTAAGAACATGTGAAAGAAACAATTCAAGTTAAGACCAGGAATCCCCAGTGTGGGGAACAGGTCAGAGAACACCAAACATGTCAAATATTAACTTATTTACCAAATAGGGGCCCAGGGAACACAGGTTAAATTTATATAGATCCTGGATGTTTTGTACAGAAGCAGAGACCCTTTCACCCCCTCCTCTCTAGACTCAACCAGCTGATTCCAACTGTATTATTATGATACACCAAAGTGGGATATCAGAGTAACCACTGAGGAAAATGAGCTTGTTCCCCGCCTGGAGCTCAGGAGAGGGAAGGGGCTCTGTCATGCTGTTCCAATTGTTGTGTTCTGGTCCCTACGTGAACAGCTGTTTGAATTACCCAGCTTCTCCTGTGAGATCGTAGTGCGGTTCCAACGGCCCAGAAAGCTCAGTATGCAGCCTCCTCTGCCCCAAGACTCTATCCCCAGATCGAGCTGAGGCTGGTCTCCTTGGTTCTGTTGGCCCTGTAAAAAATACTTGTACAGACAATCCTTTCCTACCCGTTCCCCAAAGACCCCAATAAAATAACATGGGAGCAGCAGCTGCTTCTACAGTTTTGTTTTTGAAATGGTGTTAGATAAAATAAGGGAATAAATAGAGAATGGGTAAGAGGCATAATCTCCATCCCTGTGTCACACTGCCAGAGGGAGCTCCAGGGAAGGCTCTTCAGGGGGCCGGTCCTCGTTCTGCCGTGCGGTCTCCACCACACAGCCCTCTTCGTTGTCCGTGCGCAAGGGGAGGTTTGAGGGGCACCAAGAGGGGCGGAAGTCTTCATCCTCAGGCTCCTCGGGGTTACGATCTTCGGGCACTAGAGCTTCTAGAGTGGATGTTTTCCCCACCTCTGACTTACAGAGGGCAGCCGGGTCTGTGGGGCCACAAGCCACCAGTGAGGTAACCGGGAGAGAGAAGACACTCAGATCCTTCTCCTTGGGGAACGAGGGCGGGACTTCTTCCGTACCAGGCTCTCCTTTCACCCCCAGGACTGGCCTCTGCTCCACCTGGTAGTAGACCAGGGGCCCACTGTTCAAGTAGGATGGGTTGTTCACGGCTGAGGCAGTTGGCTGGTCTGAGTTCTCGGCAAAACACAGCACGGAGGAGCCTGGGGGCAGCTGAGCCTGGATGAGGATGGGGGCTGTCAGGCCCGGGCACAGCTCTTCGGGAACAGCCAGGGGCTCCTCCAGGATGCACACGCCCAGGCTCTCCATGCTGGAGTCCAGGCTGGCACTGGAGCCGCTCGGGTCCTCCTCCGCCTGGAGCCGCTCCAGCTCCTCCGCACTCTGCAGGTGCAGCACCGCCGTCTCATTCTCAGCGATGAACTCCTGGAAGTCCTGTGTCTCTGAGCCCTGTGCTGCTGCCAGGCTGCAGCTGGCAGCGGGGGAGGGCTCCTCGTCTGGGGCTGGCAGGCGGCTCACCTGCCGCTTGCTCTCCAGCTCCAGCTTCATGATGGTGTGGAGGTAATGAGTCCGGACCCGGATTGGGTTGAATTCAAT